AATGGACAGATAGATGAATGGAGGGTTAGATGGATAGATGGATAGATGAATGGAGGGTTAGATGGATAGATGGATAGATGAATGGAGGGTTAGATGGGACGGTTTCAGTGCTGTGAACAAGAGGCGGTAACTATTCTTCGTAGGCAGCATTGAAAATATAAGAGTTTCATATTTTGTACTATCGTCAAATATGTTTTGCTTTGCTTTGCTGTGATGTGCTGTACTGTGTTGCCAGAAGCATTCATCAAGCAGTCATTCGACTACTTTTTTTCATTTTTTCATTTTTTCACACATAAAATTTCTTCACTTTTCGTGTTTAACAACAACACTTTGCGCTCTTTTTTGTGCATTTTTATTCCTTTTGTCATTTAAAATTTGCATAATTATTAATGCAAAAATAAGCAATATGCAGTGTAATAAATGGAATTAAGCTTTCATATTGCAATATGCAATGCGCAATATGAAAGCTTAAATCATTCACTCTCAATAACAATTTGACCACTTATTGACCATTCATTATTAATTATTTAAGAGAAAATTAAAGCTACCAGTAAATATTCGTATTACTTCTGTCACAATTCCACCAGCACAACTGAATCAATTTTAAAGTTTTCTAAAAATGAAAAATTTCGTTTATTTTCAGAGATGCGTAGATGATGATAGTAGTTGAGTAAGCATTGTATTTTAGTTTTATTTAAACACTCTCACTTTCGATTTCTTCTTCCAATAATTTGTAAATAAAAGTATTAACCTTTGACATACTGCTAATTTAAGCTATGAGATTAGAAAATATTCTGACGACATAGTAATTTTGATTAATTATGCCAGGAGCTAAATGATTGCTTGTGATATTTACTCTCTCCAATATGTGAGATTAAATAATATACACAATTAGTCTTTAGTGTTTAATTTAATTTCACAAATAAGATAGTATCGATACTACAAGTTACAGTAGTTTTGATAAAATCTCATACGTTTATGTTTTTACTGTAAATAAAAAAGTGATTTGATTTACAGTAATTGATTTGAAATAATTGAAGTTATTAAATCATTGTAATTAGTAAAGGTAGCGAGATGAGCGTGAAGGTATTTGTGGGCATCGCCACGGCAGGCAGTGTCTTCGTGATAATTATGTCGCTGGTTGCTGCTTGCATGATTTACAACGATATCAATCATTTATATGACGATGTTATGGATGAAATGAGTGACTTCAAGGTATATCTTTAAAATTTCTTTTTAATTTTATAAAGCTTTTACAAACTGCAAAAAAGAGACAACAGCTAATTGAAGCTTAATAATATCTCTTATAGCATATTAATTAAAACTGAATTAAATTTTTCAAGAAAAGTTGAACACATAAATGCATTTTACACCTTTGGAAAAAAACCTTGCAAAACAACCTTTTCTCCATTGTATTATAAAAAGTACTTTGCATAATTTTTTGATTATTATATCCATTGAATGAGTTTTTGAATGATAAAAGTAGTAGAAGCAATACAGAATGAACTGATAAAATCATTTATAAAAGAACAGATAGCAAAGAATCAAAGAAAGACATCTATCTATCTGTGCAATAAAACGAAAATTTAAACTTTTTTCACATCAAATTTTGCGATCTTATTGAAAAAAATTGATATGTAAGAAAGATTTTCTAATTTTTACTCGCAAAAAGACTAAAACTCAAATGGCAATATTTTTTGGGAGAGATTTTTGAAAAGAATTAAATTTATCAGAAGGAAAGGCACATTTCTGTCCTTTCTCTCCACAAACATTTTTTGCCTGTCCTTCTCTGCGCGGATGATAAATTCTGATGCAGAACCAGTACAGTGTCAGAACGAGTTTGACTCAACTCGGAAATGCATTGGCATTTCTTTGCTCACATTTGTCCTCCTCAATTACCGTTTAGATAGTATTACAAGATGACACTTCATGAAAAGTATTCAAAATACTAATATTTTTTATCATAAACTACTTATCATTAGCACTGCACTGAATACATATCCAATTAAAGCATATATAATTGCTATTTCAGTCATTTACTTTTACTTTTACAGTACTAAATTATATTCAATTAGTTATTGTAACATACTTACTATTAATATACAGTATTTTCACATATTAGTTAAGCATTTTTAGTACAGAAAAGCAAATTTAAGATAGCAATTAAATCTAAAAAGGAAATGGGAAATTTCCTTTATTAGTAATAAGTGAATGAAAAAACATTCATCTAGAGAGTGCTATTTGAATATTAACTAAATATAAATAAGTATTAATTAAATAGTTGAAATTAAAAAGATAAAAAGGTTTTTAGTCAGATTATCTAGGAGAAATAAATATTAGAAATGTATAAAAAATAGATATATGAAAGTTAGCTACAAAACAGAAAAGCAGTCTATAGCAATTGAATTACTTTTAGAACTTTAAAAACTGTAGTTTAGCTAGATTTTCGCTGTTTCATTCACTACAACAGTTATAATAAAGTCCAGCTTGAATTTTTAATTTGCTGCAAGATAAAAATTAATATCTCTTTTCCATTTAGCACACTAACTGAAATGAAAGATAAAATATTTGGAAGTATTTAGAAAGATTAGTACTCGATAACACAAGTAAGGGATTAAAGTAAAGGTTTGAATTTCTTATTGTTATCTTCAGCAAAATGGATTTCAGAATAACTTTATTTTAAAAAATGACCAGTTACTAAATTTTTAATAACTGTGTACACTTACTTAAATATTATATAAGTGAAGCCAATAAATACCGCCACGTAATGCTAACATTTTTTGCTCCAGAGAGTATGAATGTTTCGTTTGATGGAAATTAACATGACAAGAATTTGACTTACACTTTACTATCTATAATACTCTGCTCTAGTTTAATTCTTGCTTTCTTGCTTTTATCTGCTATGAAAGATTGTGATACGGTTAAAAATATTTGAGACAGTAGCAGATGACACGTGGCAGAGGATATTGTTGCTGCACATGCATCCTTCGGGTAACAGCGAAGGGTCTACATTTTCTAGTCTATTTGCAAGGTTCAAACGACAATCTCGATTCCCTGAACGATGCAGTATGTTTTTTTAAAATAAAGTTTTACATAATTGGCAAAAATTGGCTTAAGTTTGAATAGTGAATGAGATTAATTATAGACTGTGGACCAAGCGCAGAAAATTGTCCTCCAGGACCACCAGGCCCACGTGGAGACAAAGGTATTGCTGGAGATGAAGGAATACCAGGAAGAGACGGACCACCAGGTCTACCTGCTCTTGTAATAATAACAACACCCGCACCACGGGAATGCATTGATTGTCCACCAGGGCGACCCGGACCTGAAGGACCACGAGGTGAACCAGGAGAAATTGGACCACCCGGAAAAATCGGCCGTGAAGGAAGACCAGGATCACGAGGACGAGGAGGACCGCGTGGAGCACCCGGTGAACCTGGTGAGCCAGGAACAGATGGAATCCAAGGCCGACAAGGACGACCAGGAAAAGATGGCAAACGAGGTACTGGACCTCAAGGGCCTAAGGGACGTATTGGACCTAAAGGAGCACCTGGACCCCAAGGTGAAACTGGACAACGCGGTGCTGATGGAGAAGTGGGTGAACAGGGACCAGCAGGTAAAAATGGCCGGGATGGAAGAGCTGGCAAAGATGGTAGACCTGGACAGGTTAGTTTGTCATTGAATCTTATAAGATTCTATCATAGCTTCCGTATTTTTCATTAATTTACATTGAAAATACAATATTTACTACCAATAACTAGTCAATAAATCACTGTTTGCATTCAAAATGCTTTATTGTTTGAAAAATTTCAGCGAGGAAGCCCAGGTTTGCCAGGTCCAGATGCTCACTACTGTCCTTGTCCTGCTCGAACTTCCGTCTTTGTGGCATCTGTCAAGAAGGCCAAGCATTAAGCTTTCTCAGCTTAATACAATTTCATGCTTCATGAGCATTATCATCCTCACCATCATCCATACCATCAAGTACCATAAAACAACGCACCATCAATTGCACGTCACGCTCAGTGTAGTATAAGTGTTGGGTAGTTAAACCCTACTTTTTTTATTTGTTTACTTGTTTGTTTATATTTAATCATCTTCCACGTCACCGTCACTGAATGACAGCATCATCCGTTTTACGTGAACATGCAACGTACACGTCAGAAATAAACGTTTCATTGTTCATCTCTTGCATTTGCTTCGCAAACAACAAATTAACAAGTTGATGAATGGTTTTACAAAATTTCATTACTTCATATAATTAAACGGTAATCCATGCTTTGCAAGTAGACAAACCCAAAAGTTAACATTGTGCTCAATGGATTACACTTTATTTCTCGTACAGTAAGTGAAGAAGACATAATTGAAACTACCTCATATCACATTTTGCAGCATTTCGGATAAATTTCTGCCGTAGTTTTAAGCAAATAATTAATTATTAAATTTGCGAATTAGAATAAATTCTGCAAACTAACATTTTTATCCTAAAGATTCTCCTCAAATGCATTTATGGTACAGTAATTTGGAAAAATTCTTTAATTTCAAATTATGTAAACAAATTAATAGATTTTCTATACATTAAAAACGATTGCAACTGATTATGAATTGTTGGGTTTTTTGCATTTTTATTGTGTGTTTTTGACATTAAAAATGCATATTTCAATGCTATTTTTTATTATTAAAAATACGAAAGAACAAATACGCACGGAGCACATTTGTCAATTTGTCTAGCAAGCAAAAAATCAACAGAAGAAAAATATTAAAATTGAATTTAATTTTTTAATTCCATACCATTCAAGTTATCAGTTCCTGCTTTTCCTGTTCTCATGCAATTAGATAGTAGCGATTTTCATGCAATCATTCTTAAATCATTTATAATTTCATTAATGTTTTAATTTTTACTTCTTGCTAGTTCTTTTACTCAAAGTTACTTAAAATTTTGCAGCCATTGTTTCTCCTTTCTTCAGTCATTGTAGGCAAAGCGAATCAGCTATTTAGTTCTCTTCTGAAATGCCTTGTAGACTGAGTCTGTGAGATGGCTGAATCTGGACTGACCCGTCTATTTTGAATTAGCCATTGTAATTTTAATAACTTAAAAAGATTTCTTCGCAACGGTTTGACATAAAAAAGGAATAAAGTGGGATGTATACAAGGCTCCCAGTATAGTAATGCGGAAATAAATGTTCCATAAAAAGTTGTGTCGATTGAAATTAAAGAAAAAGTAATCACTACCAATAATGGAATAATCAAAAATATGAACGGCAAAACAGCCTGAAATTTAAAAAATTTAAAATAACATTTTTTTATTATTCAAAATTAAATTGAGTAAAATATTAAATCTTAGCATTAATTTAAATTAAATTCGGTAATTACCAAACTACAAGCATAATTTTCAAAAACTAGTTGATATTTTGTGTGCAAATAATTGTTAGACAAACCTGTAAAGCCATTAAGATCGTTAATCTCTTTTGCATTATATATGTTTCACTACTTGAAATATTCTCGTTTAAATATTGGAGAACATTTTTGGATATGTAGATTATCGCCAAGTACGATATAACAACAACACAAACTAATATTCCATGAAACAGATTTAAATAAAAGTAGTCCTGAAATTAATCAGTTAAAAAACAATAATTAAATTAATTGCTATTACAATTATAATTATTTGCACCTCAGATTCTATCCCTGCAATGACAAAATTGCCCATGATATTTGAAAAATTTCTTGATAACTCCATATGCGGAATCACAATCCATGTTATTCCAGTATCAGTTAGCAACAAAGCTGCGATTAAAAAGCCTACATGTCTTGGAGCAAATATATTGAGTAAACGGTGTTTTCTGAAAGGCACAGAAAATTAGTGATATTAATCAGATTAGCGTTAAGGATTAATATTCATAGCAGTATTAACAACAGTAATGTAATATTGCATGCTAATTTTTAAAATTTTTTAGCAATCAAATAACAAGTTCACAAATTTGACAAATTTTTTTCATAATCAAGCAATGAAGTATACGTTTATGGTAGTTTGCAACATATAACTTTTAATCTAAATTCACTAAACTACATATAGTAATAAGCGAATACTGAAATATATTTGCTACACGTTGGATTAACAGACTTTAGTTTAAACTTGAAATTTAAAAAAAATTTATTGCAACTAAGCGCATAATTACCTGCAAATAAGTGCATAATGATAAAAAAATTCAGCAGCTAATGATAATATATTCAAAACGAAGAAGAACATGCCAAGAGATAGAAATATTTTAATGAGACTGATTGGAAATGTAGTAATAAATCCGATTAATATCATTCTCATACCGTCTGTTTTTGCGACGATATTCTCAAAAATGATACACTTTTGGATAGAAAATATATTGAAATATTATTAACGAGTAATTAACTTTTTAAAAATCATAATCAACGTCAACTGATGAAAAATTAAGCTGTGACTTGTTTTTTTGATATAAAATTTGAAAGTGATTGCTAACTGTGCAAGTATTTATACAAAAGTACAGTAATAAGAGGCTTACAATCTGTAAGAGTGCATTAGTGCTAGCTAGACTAATTGTAAGTGTTCCACGCCAAGAAATAATAATGCGATGACAAAAAGTCAGTTCAGAAGATTTTGTTACGCTGCAACAATAAATTACCAGTGAACTACTAGACAGTGCAATAATTGTTGCAATCAAACTATTGATAACAAAAAAATCTACAAGCACTACTGATTCCAACATTGTTCGAATATGAATCTGAATGTTACCACTCTGAAATGATGTAAATTTAATAAGCAAAAAATGCAACCACAAAAAAGCATTACTTTAATGTATTTGGTACACTTATCATTGCAAATATAAAATTTTACTGAAAAATTATTTTGTTATCAAAATCAGCGATAAAAATTACTATAACTGCCATAATTGTAATTGAAAATTTTATTGCAAGTAGAAAAATTGATGGAAAATGGCATAGTGCTTAATTTAGCTAGTAAAATTATAATTTATTTGTAATTTATACACTTTTATTTTGTGAGATTTCTGATTTCAGTTAAGTATTTAGGCTGTACTACTATTTTTATCTGCAGTTTAATTTTAAATCAAATGTTAACAAAACGACATTTGTTGATGCGAGTGCTGTATATGAATGAATAAAAAATGAATGCATATGACGAATGAAATTTTAAAAGATTTGTATCAAAAATTGAAAAAATATAAAATACAGAAAAAACTGTAAAATGAGCAGAAAATTGAGTTATCTGAAAGGAGCAAAATATTATTACTAAAGGCAAGAGTTAAGTATCAGGCTAGTAAAAATATTATAATATTACATATATTACAATCATATTTTATAAAATTTTTTAATTATTTTATCTTTTTAAGCGCTATCGTTTTTTTCACTTTTTTATAAGCGCAATATTAATAATTTGCTTATTTTCAAATTTTTTCAATAAATGTTAAAATTCCACTTGTTTATGTTTACTTCGTTTAATAAAATATTATTTCAATAAAGTTTTTCAAACAAAATATTATTGTAATATTGAAGCAAAACCTTTTTTCAGTCTAACTGTACTTGAAAAAGTTATTTTTCAACTGTTAAAAAAATTATAAATAAAACTGTTTAGACTCAAGCCTGACTTTTTAAATCTTTAGACTGAAAAATGTTCATTTTTCAATTTTCTATGCAAAAGAGTTATGTAATTAAGTTAAAAACGGTTGCTATGTGTTAAATTGAATAAAAGCTAAAAATACTTTCAGTTTTTACCGTTGAAAAAGTGATTAACTGTTCAGATTCATAAATTTTCTGCAATTTAATTTTAAATCAAAAGTTAATAGAAAACTTTTATCCTAAAATTACAAATGCGAATTTCCACACTATCACATCACTTACTTTTTAATAACAGAAATATCTCAATAACATGTTTATCACTTATATCATTCAAATTCTATGCAAATAAGCATAATGAACATTAAGTTCCCAATAAGACTAAGCAATTCATTTAAGCATTAAAATTTAATTTTTAGAAAGTAATTAGCATTTCAAATTGTAAAAAGAATATCCAAATATATAATGAAAAATATGCTCAAAAGTGAAAAGTTCATAAAATATGACAATACTAAATGATTAAAGTATTTAAACAAAAATTATTTTATGTTATTAAGTACTGTAAATTAGTGAAACGAGACAGAATACAATAGAAGTAAGCAATACTTGGATAATATGTCAAAAACACAACCTATACAATATTATTTCAATAATTATCACATTTATTGTTATTATGCCGATTTTATCATTTAATTATTTTTTCCATATTTAAATTTTAGCAATTTGCATAAAAATGACTGCAATTTAAGTATTTCGATTTCATATCAGCACTAGTAATACACTAAAGTTAAATGCATTGCTTCAATTTTGTAGCGTAGTGATAATTTGCATATAATTTGCAATCTTTTTCTATTTGCTTAAATTAAATTGAGAGAAGTGACGACTGAAAAATTATTTGTAAATGTAAATCGACGTTTAAAAGCTAAGTATAAACGTAGTTATGAAAGTAAATATTGAGCAAGAAGCAGTTCATAATCAGACAAATTTCGAATAGTGCACAAGCGGAGTTAAAGAGTTTTAGTCAATCTTATCAAGAGAATTAGCCAATAAAATCACTATTCTAAATTTTATTATTATCATATTATTATTATTACTCATTTGTCATTCTTGTCAAGAAGATTGCAAAGGCTTTCAGAACCATTTTGGCCAAGTCAATAGCAGTCAAAAAATATTTCTGGCTTACTTGCTCCAATTTTTGATATTTAAATGCTAGTTACGTGCCTTTCTAGTTCAATAATTCATCATGCAAATATTCATCACGTTGGTATTCACGTACACTTTACTACTCTGTGTATTTACGCAACTTTCATCACGTAGCTGTCTACCAAATTGTCTCTGCATTGATAGTTCTATAGTGTGCTCGTAAGTAATTTTTTTCTAGCAACATTTATAACAAAATAATTTTATTATTTTAAGTAATTGTTTAAAATTTCATACCTTTTTGCAACCTAGTTTAATTTTGAAATCTTAAAACTTCATACACTACTTGCAAGTTAAACAATTTTGAATTTTGAATTACTTTGTATCTCAAAAACTTAAGGAAGTAAAGTAGGAATGAAACAAAAAAATCTTTGCCTAAAAACTTATTCTTCACATTTCATTGAATTTTTTGCATGAAATTCTATGAATTACTACAATTACCATCATCAAGAATTAAGTAAAATGTGCATAATTAAATTCTAGAAGCGATTAATTGTAGAAATAACAAAGTTCTTGCTTTCGTTCTATAAAATGCTAATTTTAAAGACTCACTTGCTAGCTACAAATTACACGGGTTTTGGAAGTAAGCAGTGACTTTTTCAGAATTAGCAACTTAAAGGCTATACTTTTTAATCAATTTGTATTTTCTGTGCTAAAAAGTATGAAATAGTTTAATTTCACACTAATTATTTACTAATTGATAACCTTATGTAAAAATCCGAAAAAAATATTTTCATAAGTATGTATTCTAAGCGAAAAACATTCAAGAAACTTTGAGTTCTACTCATCTCAAATACAGTTAACATTATAGCTAACTAATCATCATCACAAATATTATTTCTTCATACGTTTTATTGATTTTTAAATTCAGATCACGAAAAGTTTGGGAGGATAAAAGTTAAGAATTGTACAAAAATGAATTAATTTGCTTCTATACAAACTTTTACGATCAAACCACATCATAAAATTTGAAATTTTCTCATTATAAACAGCATTATCAGTAATATTAAATGACTTGATAAATTCATCGAATTTTTTATTTTTAGCAATTTTTTATTTTTCTGTGGCTAAATTATCATTAAAAATTTATTAAAAACAATAAAAACCAAATTTTTGTTGATTTTTTAAAATTATTCGAACTGTCAGCTCAAACAAGTTATAATGGTCGGATATATAAAATACTCAGGTAAAGTTTTGAAAGTTTACACAGTGCTTATATTAACAGTAAAATGATCAGTTATACTCAAACCTTATAATGTTAATTTGTAGTTGCGAAGACATTCTTGGAAAGATGACAGAAAAAAAAATTATACTAGCAAATTTTGAGCACATACAATTCACTGATTCACTGGTAATTCATTCTTGCGATACAGTAATAATACCAAGCAATACATTCAGTGGTACTGTAATTCAACAAATGATTAAGGTTTGATTAATTAAAAATAACAGTGCGATGGGCTTCGAAAAAATAAAAAGATTTCTAATTTTGAATTTCAAATTTGAAAAGATTCTTCATTCCAATTCGACTAAAAATAAATGAACATCTGATTGATTTGAAAAATAATTGACTTTGCATACAGTAATATGCTTGGACTGAGTTGTTTGCTGCACATTTTCGCATAAAACATCTGATTTTCTTTCGCTATGCATCATTTTAAGGATTGCATTGTTTTCAAATTAGAAAGTTTTTAAGCTAATGGCTGATAAATTGCAAATTTTTGGTATTTGAAAGTGCTTTAAAATGAAACTGAATAATTGATTATATTAATAAATAATTGATGAATTGAATATTAATAATTGACGATATTGCTAAATTGAGTTTTTTAATGGTATGATCAAGGTCAAAAGCTTGTGCAAATAATTCTAACTTTGTTTTAGATTATCAATGTAAATGATCTAAGAATATTTCCACGAGCTTTTCAAGGAATTGCAAAAGCTCCAGAGCAGATGCACCTTGAAGCGACTAATATATATAATATTCCTCGAGATGCTTTTACAAATTTGATTAATTTAAAGCATATTTGGTTCCGCAACGCTACCATACATGTCTTAGCTAGTGGAGCATTCCGAGGTGTCACTAATGTCAGCTATATTTATTTTCGAGATTCTGCTATTCATCACATTGAAACCAACGCTTTTGGTTAGTCAAGCTCAACCTTCAATAATATTAAGGTTTTTCCCAATACAAGAGTACTGTAGCAAATATGAAGATATTTATTACTTCTTTATTACTGTTGAAAAAATCTTTTCTCAACTTTTTGCAGTGCAATACTGGTTTAGTTTTTTACTTCACAATCTTTCCATTCATAATTTTAAAGATGTAAAAAATATTGATACTGGCAGAAATATACTTTTATCACTTGGCTATATTATTAATACTGGGAAGTTGCTACAATTAAATATTTTTCTAACATCAAAAACATTTTTTTAAATCACACATTGAATTTTATCAAAAATTTGTCCTTTTGCAATTTAATCATCTTCCATTAGTAAAAGGAACTTATTCGACTAACGCTAAAAGTTATAATGGATTGCTTGCATTAAAATAATAATAATAATAATAATAATAATAATTTGAGGCTCAATGCGCGAAATTCAGCACTTTTTTCTCCGTGGAAATATCAGTATTCAATCATGTGAAAGTGACATATTTTGGAATTCAACAATAACTGAAGTTATATTAGAAAATGTTCACTTATCTGCTCCGCTAGATTGCTTTGATGGATTGATAGCTAACAGCGTTCACTTGCTTGATTCTACGTGGAAAAGTAGCGCAAGTTCTAGAAAATCTTTATGTTATCATCAACAAATTGGTCGTTTCACAATTACTAATTCAAGTTTGGATAAACTTGCCGTACAAGCATTCTATGGTACAAAAGTATTGCGTCTTCTGCATAGCAATGTGAAAAGTATCACAACAATGCGATATACAAACAATAATTTCTCAGTTAAATTTCACGCAAAAGAAAACGGAAAAAATTGGCATAAAAAAGTGAAATGGAAGCAAAAAGAGAAGAGATGTATGGCTGAATCAGAATCATTGCAGCTGAGTATTACAAAAAGTAACTCTGAAAATTTACGTCAGAGTATGGAAATTTCTCGATGCACAATTGCTTCAATAGAAAAGAATGCCTTCAGAAGTTGCCATCATGTAAGTAGTCTTCGTATCTATCGTTCACACATCTCAAACATAGCTGCAAATGCTTTTACTGGATTATCTGCGAAATCGCTTATTTGGCAGGAATGTGATATAGGTGTAATGCAATCAATGAGCTTTCGGGGAGCACATATTCACACGTTACTCTTCTCACGCTCTCACGTGTTAACCATAAGCAAAGCAACTTTTGCAAAATTAACTGCTCGAGAAATTATTCTCGATAAAATGATCATTTATGAATGCCAGCAAGAATTATTTGCAAAGGCAAAGGTCAATTTTATTCTTAATTTTATTATAATTAAGCAATTATTTATATTAACTACTTAAATTCTGCACATCGTCAAACTTTTATTTTTCCAAACGACAACAAAAATTCAACGTGTATATTACCCTTTTCCTATTATTTTCTGTAACATATTGCTGCTCAATTTGATTTAACAAATTATGAATTTTTTCGTTTTTTATATTTTTCATTCAAACTGAATTGATATCTGTAATTTGTTTAGTAATTTCTATCTCATAATTTAAGTATCTATCAGTTCTGAAAATTGTCAATTTTGAGAGATTAAATATCAGCAAATACAGTATTTGACTTCGATTACATTAATTTAATGTATTATACATATTTTTTGCTATATTTCAAATCAACAACTTTTTAAATATTAAAAATAAATAAATTATATCAGCAAAGTTGAAAAAATTTCGTGCCTTTACCCAATTTTATAGGATTAAAACCTTTTTTAATGCTATATTTTTAATCACAAAAATTTTGATACTTTTGGCATACTAATTTTAAATAAATGATTATACTAAAACATTATAAATCAATCTTTGAGCTTAAATAAGTATAAATAACTTCTATGCAGTCCACTACATAAATTATTTTTTAAGGGACTGTACAACATAATGAACACTTCAATAAATTTGAATTATTCTTGAAATTTGTATTGTATGAATGAAATTATTTTTCATTTGCTGACTTCAACAATTTTAAACTGTGATAAAATTGTACAAATTTAAGCTAAACTATTTTAGGTGCATAATTTGAGCATAATTTTTACGGAGATTGCTACCGGTGCATTTGATCAAATCTTTCGGAATTTCAATCCAACTTATCTTTACATGCAAGAAAATTTATTTGATTGCAATATGACGCAATGTGGCGTGAACAGTTTGCTTCTGAGACATGAGCAAATATCCTGGAATTTGCCATGGAAGTTTGAAGGCAATCAGTGCACAAAGTCTGACCTTTGCCACCAAACATCTCAGTGGATATTTCCCAATATCAATTGTAAATCGTACTATTTTGTGGTTGAATGCTTTTGTGTTAGTTCAAGATTTGCCCGAGTGCCCAATATCAATGCTTCTATAATAACAATAGGTGACTGTGGAATACTTGAGATTGATCTCAGTAACAATGTGCACATCATATCGCTTCATATTTTTCGTACAGAAGCATTGAAAATCACAAAAATACCAATAAGTATGCAGATTTTTGAAACTTTTCATACAAAAATAATAAGAATTGAACCACATGCATTTCAGAACATTAAGATGGAAAAAATTGAACTGATTTCTACAGAAATTGAAATGCTAGCAAGTGAAAGCTTTGTAAATTTTTACTTGTCAATGTTCATTCTCAAACGTACTACTGTACGTTACGTGGATTTCAATGCTTTTATCAATACTACCATTAAAATGCTTTATGCTGAGCAGTCTAATTTTTTGCATGTTTCGA